TCATCATCCACGTGAGTAATGGAACACTTTAACATTACTTAAGACTTTTTATACTTTTAATTTCCCTACACATATCTAACTATATGTTTCAATACACATTATAGCAACATTCCAGTTTAGATCAATGCACTAAACAATTTTAGAATAAAATGTAACGAAACTAATTTAACATACTAGCTAAAAAAGATGTCATGTATTGTTTAAACAATAGTTGACTAATTAAGAGAATTTGCAGAATGTTTAATATGATGATAGGCAACATTATTATTATATGGGAAGTATTTGTTTGTTATAGAAAATGCATTATTATAGTCAATACTGCAGCGATTATAATTCTTACTAATTAGAAGTATAATTCCACTAACCCGACAAATGTGCTAGAAATTAGAAAGTGAATAACCGGAGTGCATTGTTTATGCATAGTGCTTGTTTTCGAGCTTGTAATTGCAATAAAACTATAACTGGTTTGTAATTACAGAGGCGAGGTTTCTCTAATAGACTTACTAGACCGGGAGAATGAGACCTACCACAATTTGACGTTATGTGTACGTGACGAGAATCCTAATCATGTAAGTATTATCATTTTCAATTCTATTATATATAACAAATGAAGTTAGTAAATACTCCAGTAAAATTTGGGTCTTGTAACTTTTAAGCTATCTTCCCATTGGCTACTTAGTCCAGACACCTAACATTCTAGCCAATCAGTAAATATGTGCAAGGGGTAAAACGTGCACAAGCTTTCGTCTTGAACATACGTCGTTTAATAGATCTGCGGCATTTATTTATTTTCAGAATGACACGACCTTCCTCTTAGTCACAGTAACTGACGTTAATGACAATGACCCAGTAATTACTGCGAACGACTCCAGTGTTATGATTCCAGAGGAGGAGGCAGGAAGTGTAATCATTACGTACGTGACGGTATGTGATGAACAATTATTTCAATTTGGTGGTACATGTATTCGTGTTTTGAATAGCTAACATAATTATTATTCATATCCCTCACTATGAATCTTAACTCATTACCGTTTCATGTGCATTAGTTTAAATTAGTGTCCTTTTGTTTCACAGGCGACAGACGAAGACGACGGAACAAATGCAGAATGGACCTACACAATCGTTGACAGACTGTCTAAGTGAGTATAGTACGTTGCATTAATGGGTAAAAGTATGTTCTATTAATTTATTATTGATTTTATGTTTTGGTGCGCATTGAGTGTGAAACCACTCAAGGCGCGCAGTGATTAAAAAACGAAAGATTACAGTGTTCACGACACTTGGTAAGAGCCGGCTATATGCACGCCCAAGCTGTGCACGCTGTGAACGAAAAAGCAATGCAACACAGTCACTTGGGGGTTGAAAATCAATAAACACTATTTTTTTTTTTTAATCATCCGCTATACGCATAAATAAAATAATATTAATTTATATGCGTATAGCGGATTATTTAAAATGAGTATATATTGATTTTCAGCCCCCAAGTGACTGTGCAACGCAACCAGAAATATTGTATATAGCATTATGGAATTATAAGACGCAACTCAATCTTCTCGTTAAAGTTTGTTCAATCTCAAACGACGAGAAGTTCAACTGAAATAACCACTCGAACGCAAAGCGCCCTCCTGTTTCAAACAGACGACATCAGTCGTTGATGTTGAAGACGACACACGGACCTGGGTAGACAGACAACGCATTGAGGATGTATTAGTTTCTCCCGCTTCGCCACTGAGAACTACCGGATGAGAACTATTAACATGTTGATTGACCATCTTACAAAGGATCGTAGAAAAGTGTGTATGTTGATGATTCGGTCTTTAATGCGTCAAGTTCGTCATCGAGTTCGCATCACGTGACGACTTGATACTTTCCGATCACTATCAGGTTACATTTCCACCTCTTATTGCACGTCATTTTGGTCAGAACTCTGTATAGACATGTTATACATCCGAGTTATCACCACGCATATCGGATAACTATGCCAATTCCATTTGTCTTTCCGTTTCTATTTTGTTGCTCACGATAATGGCGTCATTGCAGGCCTTGTTGCGGACTTTGGGTATAACGAGAGAGCGCTAAAATTTTGATATATTGTTGATATATTGAAACATACCTTAGCCCTAAAAAATAGTCACCTGTTGACCTCTGAATAGACGAATAATAGCATGCCCTTGGACTTCTTTTCAGTGACTTCACTGTCGATGGCACAACCGGTGAAGTGACAACTCTGAAAGCGTTTGACAGAGAAGAACAGGATACGTATGAGGTGTATATTCTTGCTGTAGATCATGGTGAAAGTCCTCGTTCCGGACAGACTTATGTGACAGTTACACTCGCTGATATCAACGACAATCCACCAGTGTTTGAATCAGATTCATATGAAGCAGCTGTACCGGAGCAGACATTAGATGTTTTCGTCATTACTGTGAAGGTAATTATGTGTATACTCGTCCATACATTAATACATTATAACATAAATAACCACATCCTTCATCCTTCCAACTCAGCATTAATTGAATCAATGAAAATAAATACTTCTTGGTTAAAAAATGTTGAAAACATTTTAGAGCAGTGTGAACTGGAAGAATTAAAGTCTGACAACCCTTTTAAAATAAATAACATGAATCACAAAATATTATATCAATATCAGTGAAAATGTTTAATATCTCATTCTTTCCCATCACGACTTCCACTGTTCCCCTTACCTACATACATATATATGTGTAGTGTAAACTTTGTGGCATATAGCTAGGTAATGCTATCCAGTATCTATGATTGGTGCCTGTCTATCAGTGTACATCAATACATACA